TTCATTTTTAATCACTCACAGATTTTGTTTGCATTATGCGGTTGATAATTCTATTATTATGTACTGTGTTATTCAAAAAAAATAAAAGATTATTAAATAATGCGTAGTTTTTATTAGTTAACAAACATATGGGTATTTATTGTTTAGTTCGAATAATAGTCAATTATGATTTCAACTAATTTGAAAGCAATAAAAGTCGCACATTTTACTATTCATGGCACTATAAATCAATGTACAATGCTACAAGATTATTAAAAAAGTTCAAATCAAATAATAAAAATATTTACTTAAAGAGAGTTGTGTGGTCATTAACAATGCAAGGTTGATCTTTATCTTAGGAATTTGAAAATATAGCCTCGTAAGGAAAATCCTGCAATTTGTGTACATAATTTGCATTTCGCATTATTAAAGCAATTGTAATTCGTAATACTAGATAATAATAATCGTTTCCACATTCTCTGAACACCGTAAAAATAATACGCATTTTTCATAATGTTATCCGGACACGAGAAATAAAAAATGTAGCTAAAATTTATGAAATTTAAATAAAAATACAAAGTTCGGGATAAACTGATTCACTGATTATTTGTAAAACTATTTGAAACTGAAAGAAATTTATTATATTTGATTCTACAGAGAAAGAAAATTTACTGAAGAAAGATGTGTTCTAGAAGCTTTTTAGATAAAATTTAACTCCAAGAAAATTATCATAACATTTTGCTATTTTTCAGCATTTTTTTCGTTTCTCTAGTAGGAAAACAAAATTTTTCTTATTCGTAATTTAGTTAATAATTTCTATATGAAAAATGCAATTGGGTTGTCATTAGCAATAAATGATATTATTTTCCAAAGGATCTAATAAACTTATTGACAATATAAAGTAAGTTAATTCCTTCATCTGTATCACACAAAAATAATTTCTGCTGGAGCGCTAAGATGTTTATTGAAAAACATATTACATACTTGGAAAATATATGTTTAGAATTATTAATTTCAAAGATGTACAAACTAGTGGTGTATGGCATCGTGCCTTAAGACAAATTGCTGGAACTTCCCGTACCTTAATGAATTATTCGAGGAATATTAAATGTTTTCGAATAGATTACTATAAATAATTTAGCTTAATTAAATAACTGGTAATGTGTCATTAACACAAGCACAAAGTTTTTTAAATCATTCAAATCGGATGCTTTGTTCTCTCAAAAACTCCCATATTTTGCACCTTTAGCTCTATATTTCCGAAACCACCGGACCTGCTTTTACCAAAATTTAGTCATCACTTCTCCCCATTTTTGAATCATTCAAATCGGTTGATCCATTCTCTTGAAAACAGACATTTTTAACACTTTTTGCTCTATATCTCCGCAGTCGCTGAACTTGTTTTCCTCAAAAACTAATCAGCACCTCTCCTTATCAATAGGAATCAAATGTTTTTTAAACCATTCAAATAGATAAAATGTTATTCTAAGTTTCACAGAATAATTTACTGAAAGTTATAACTCAAATACTCATCAATAAAGTAAAAAACATGCTCTTTAAAAAATGTGTTGAGTAATTTATAAAATTTCCTATTTCCATCGAATGAGACCAAATGGAACCAAATTAGGAAGCAGTATGTGTGCATGTGTGTAAGATGAGCCTGATTTTTGACCTTTTTTCAAAAACGGCTGGACCGATTTCAAAAGTTTAAAACCCAGTTGATGTAACTCAATAAGGACTAGCGATTCTGAGGTTTGCACGACGATCAGTCAAGTTATTTCTTTGTAAATGAAAGAAAAGTGAATACAATTTTGTCCACATTTTAGCCTGCAAATATGAATCGATTTTAAAAATCCAAAAACCGTTTGAAAGATATTCCTGATAATATATAAAAATATATATAAGCGTTAGATTTGGTCTTGAAAAACTCTAATAAAGATATATATTAATGCAACACTAACATCCTCCATATTGTAAAGTGTATAAGGCATTAAAACAATTCCGCGTGGTTGGTTAAATAAAATAAATATCACCTGAGTTTTATTTTAGTGTTATGTTTATATCATTAATTGCCAAGTGAGCTGGACGTAGTAACCTTGAATGTCGTTAATTGTAGTAAGTTCTGTTTTGACAAATTGAGCACAATGTCAAATTCGCGATCAAGAACGACCTGGAAGCCGCGACTGATAACAGACCAGAGGCATTATTGATAAACAAATATTGTGCGAAATACGCAAATCAACACCTTTGTTTTCAGGGAAGTCGGAAAATTACCGAAAATCTATTGCAAGAGAATTCATTAGTCACCGCGATTAGATTACCTTGGAAAATTCGAAAAGTATAAATCCATGGGCGGGTATAGTTTGGATTTTTTTTGAACAACAATTAGAACTTGAGTCCCAAGGCTAATTTGACTTAATACTACGTCGATTTTACATATGGCAACTCAATACTCATATGTGATAAATTCTTACAATTAAGAATAACAATTTCTGTTATAGGGCAGACATTTTACTGATGCAGCAATGGCGGATGAGGGCTTTTTTTATTGACATATTATTTTTATATCTCAGTCAGACAGTGGTGCCTGATATAAGGGATTATGAAACAATTTGTCATCACTGATATCGGAAATTATTATTATATTATTTTCACTTCTCAAACATATTTCTATCTATACTTCCAAGTGAAATTGGATGTCACTACCGCTTGACATCAGGCTCCTCGAAGCGAGACCAAGGGCGGTTTCAGCAAAATCTAGTACAATAATTAATGATTATCTTATTCGATTTATAGTCGGCAAAATAGTTTAATAATCTGCGAATAAACTTCACAAATACGTATATGTGTATTTAATATTTAACAAAATAATTGTTTAAAATTTACGGTTTGATATCAACAAAGAATAGTTTTAACAAAAAAATGCTTAACCTCCAAACTTTTTCGAAACTGACCATCCTCATGTGCCTGTCTTCTGTATTGAACATGTACGTTATTTATTAATTTATTATATTATTAATATTTTATTTTTTAAACAACGATCATATTTAAGACTTTCATAAGCTATTGTAATAATACTTTTTAATTTTAGAAAGTATATATTAATATTTACGATATTTTCAAAAAAAAAAAAAAAAAAAAAATGTACAGAATATGTCATCATATTGAATATATTTTATATAGTCATAATTTTATAGTTATGTATAAGTATTATGTTATTGCATATTCAAATATTTCCGTTTAAATAATTTTGACAAAAAATTTTACCACAATTACATCCTATAAAATTATATTTTCTTTACAAAAAATATTGCAATGTTAAATGTACAATAATAACGCATTCAATAAATAATAAAAAATTATATGATAAAGTATATATCTATTTGTATATATATATATATATATATATATATATATATATGTGTGTGTGTATATATATATAAACACATATGACTAATTATATATGTAAACACACATAAATAACTATATAGATTCCAATAAATTATACTCTGTATAATATAGATGGAGAAATAAGAAGTATGAAGTACATCTATTATTTTAATTGATAATTAAGTTCAGTATATCACTAATGATGATATGAAATATCATGAATTGTATATTAGTGAATTTTTTTTGAAAAAAATAATAGAGGAATAATATATAAAATGAAAATAAATATGACATATGGCATTTTCTATTTCATCTATATAAAACATAAACTTTGTAAAAACTATTATAGTAATTAGTAATTACATCTTGATTTCTGTCAGTGAACGTTATTGACAGAATTTTGATGTTTTGAGCTTATAAAAAAGCTCAATTTTACATAAAAAAAATTAATTCATCAAGGGTTTCCCAACACTACTTATTTTTAATATATTGGATCAATTTTATTATTATTTTTTTATGAATGCGAGTTTGAGAAATAAACGTATGAAACCCTCAATTTTTACCATCCTAACACACTTTCCGATTTCTTTATTTAGGCAATAACTGGGAAATTATCTGAACACATTCCGATAATTGGCTATGTGTTATGTGTTATGTGCTGTGATGTATATTTGTTGTTTGGTTTTCACAGAATTACTGCAAGTTAAAAAATATTGATTGCAATGCTGAACAAGATATTTCACTCAATGATGCATCTAATAGCAATCAATTACGAAAATCAATCACATTATTTTCCTTTTTTATAACTAAATGTAACAGAATCGCATTTTTGTTTAGATTATATATATATATATATATATATATATATATATATATATATATATTAGGGTTCCAAATTGATAAAAAACAATTCTCTGGAAGTTTTAGCTCTTAATATTAACTTTTTGACAGTGCGCAATTCAATCAAACTTCGTATTGAAATAGCATGGAAAAAAATTTGAAAATTAAAAGAAAATTTTTTTAGGTATAACTTAGCGACAATTGAATTAAAAGTGCAAATTTATGTCATTTTTTATTGAAAATTCGACGCTCCGCAAAATTTTTGAAATTTTTTTATACTTTTTCCATACCAATCTTTGATTGAATTTCAGAGAATTGTTTTTTATCAGTTTGGAACCATTTGAGCCCTTGGGAGCAAAGAAATTCGAAAATGCCCATATTAAGGACCACCCTAATATATATATATATATAATATATATATATATATATATATATATAAATATATATATATATATATATATATATATTATAATTAAATTTCCTACGGCACTGGATGGTCATGTCAAATGAAAATGCCCATTTTAATTGACATAATGGCTGAAGACCATGTACTTGTACTTATATATAAAAACATTAGATCGCGCAAAATTATAAATAGTTGCTTCGGCTCTTCCTACCATTAAAAAAATTGTGCAAGCATACGACTGTGCATCATATATAACTAATTTAGAACATTTCATTTATATCATCATTATCTAAATAGTAATCTTAATATCTTGTAAAATATTTTATTTACGAAATTATTGCTGATCGTTTTGTTTTATCGCTTTTTAAATGCGATAACCGGCACTGATTGAGGAGATCAGATCTGTTTGGATATTTAGTGAGTGTTTGCATAAAGAATTTGACAGTTTGAAAAATAGTGATCTCGAACTGGAGCATTATGGAATTGGTAGCAATGGTACTGTTGTGGTTTATTATGTTGGTAACCGGCCAATATATGGATGAAAACCACATATATATGTATGTAATAAATAGTAGATCTTTTTTTTTCAAATTTAACCTATGTTAGTCTTATTTCTCTAAATATTATAAGAGAATATAGATTTTACAAGTTAGTGATTTTAGTGTTTTAATTTATAAGATATTCGTATCGTTCTCAGAAAAAGTTTAAGATTTAATTTGAAGTGATGAATTTTTACAACTAGTGCAGTGTAAAATTGAAATTGTTGGCATAACGCAAAAGATTTAATAAATAATGTATAAAACAAAAAAAAAATTAACTTTGTATTATAAATATATCACTAATCCCAGTGAATAAGTGATTAAGTCTATTTTCACTATTTTGCAAAACTTGATTTCAAAGTTCTATTATTCATATAATATCGCGTAATTAAAATTATTCGTTTAAATTTTATATGCGGTGCTTCATTAACTTTTGTTCCTAACCAATAATTTTTAGAGGAAAAGCTAATACCGCGATTTAAAACATTTTTGGAGAAATTCGACTTAACCACTTGGCAGTTATAGATATATCTCTTTACAAATTATTTACCAATCCAACAAATTAGAGAAATCCTGCTTTGTAGAGCGTCGAATTTTCAATAAAAGATAACACGAAGTGTTACTTGATTCATTTGTCGATAAGTTATTCCACAAAAAAACATTTTTAAAATTTCCGATTTTTTTCCATGCTATTTCCATATGAAGCTTTGATTGGCCATATTAAGGACCACCCTAATATATATATATATATATATATATATATATGTATATATATATATATATATATATATATATATAGGGTGGTTTTTGTATTATAAACCGCCTTTTTGTATTATAAACCAAGAGCAAAAAAGCGGAAGGAAGATATTTGACAACCTAATATATATCGCCTTTTATATATATATATATATATATATATATCGCGAGGTTAGTTTTTCGATTGTTTTATACATTATTTATTTATACAGCTGTCCCGGCAATTGTGTAGCCATAAGAAATATTTCTTAATTGCCATAAGATAACTTTTAGTATAAAAAATAATTAACTAATTGTGTATGTAGAAATATGCAATATATAAGTGAAAAGATCAGACAACACAAATTAAATTGATGATTTACCCTCTGCAACGCATTCCACATATAAATTTTGACGGGGAATATGGATAGTTTTTGCAAATGCCAGCTAAATCTGAAACTGATTTCGTTTAAATCGAATTGGTACATTTTGGTATTCAACGTTATGATATATTATTAATACGTTTTTCATTAATTTATTATTTAAGTTTAGAGTAAAATCCGAACATACATTTTTCAATTATGTTATGGTTTGCGAAATCAAGTGAGATTCCAGAAACTCTAGGAAAATTTTCAACTTTGCCATGGGTTTGTATAGGAATTAGTTCTCTCTTAAAAACCGTTTTACCTAAAATTGTTCCTTGTGCAAGATATTTAAAAACTTCTGGTGCTTATATACTTCATCGGGAATTATTTGTACTATAGGATAATCCTGCAAAACAATGATTACGCGAGAATCTATCGATAATTTGATGCATCTAGTTTTATCAGGGGTAACTATTTCGTCTCCAAAACCTAAGAATTGTTTTGAAAATGTAGCAGAAAAATCTTCATCGAATTTCAATTAAAGACGTTTACAAAAAAAAATTATAACTGATCAATTATTGAGTTAGATGAAATGTGATTGGACTACTAAAATGAATATTATGAAATAAATATTTATGATAGTAAAGTGAAAATTTAGAGTTATATCAATTTTTCAAATTCAAAACTTAAATTTACTAGAATTAGAAAAAAAAGAATTTGGCCCCAAAATTTAAAAATGATAAAATAATTGTTTTTTAAGTAAAATTCAAACTTTTTCATAATCTCAAAAAAATCTAAACTAAGTTTAAGTCAAAAACATTCGTTGATGCACGTGAGATAAAAATTTCTTCGATTACTAAAATGATTTTTACAAAATAGGGGTTTGTGTTAGAAGGGTAGAAGGGCTGCATATGTTCTTCAGTTACAAAATATTAATAAATATGAATAAATTCGTCCGTAAATAAAAAAAATTAAAGCCAGTCAACCCTTGGGCATAAAAAATAGAAGGTTGTACGATTCTCAGTATAATTAGTATGATTGTAAAATTTCATCAATATCGGTCAAGCAGTTTCGGAGCTTTTCATATATAATATTATTCTTTTGAATGTTTAATACGAGTTTAATAAAACCAAATTACTGCAATTTTCACATTCCAAATATATTAAAATAATACATAATATAGTAGAAATAGTAAACAAAGAAATATAACGATAAATAACTAGATACAGAAATTAATACTGCAATAGATTGCGGGTTAAAAACAAAATCCAAAATTTTATCCAGAAGATAATATCAATAAAAATATAGATATATAAGATGATTTCCAAGAAACTTTGCACTTACTAGATTAAAAATCAATTAAGAAAATCATTTACGTAAACAATCGCAATCAGTAAAGTTAACAAAAATTGAAGTAATTAATATCGACTTCATAATGTAAAAATACATTACAATCCAATTTAATTCGATAGATTTTAGAAATCGCACTATTAATTGTTTCAGGTAAACAATATCATTGAATAGGAATTGATTAATTAAAATTTATGAGATATGTACTTGAAATATTTAATTATAATTTTCTCGAATTGAAATATAGTTTGTTTATTTATTTTATCTGTAGTGTGTAGGATATAATAAATCAATTTTTTAAAAATGATATACTTTTGTCAATGCTAAAGCAACTTTCACTGATTACTAAATTCAAATACTTGCATTAAAGGAAGAACTTAAATTACTTCAAAAGGTTTAATATATAGATTGTAATAGTTCTTGAAAAAAAAACACCGCATAACCAAGAAAGGGAAAAATATTTATAAATGTTTTTTGAGAATAATATATATATATATATATATTATATATTAATTAAATTAAATTATATATTAATTAAATGAATCATTTCAATTTAGTGATTTAAATCCAGTCCCATCTGTAATTCGACGACCCACTCCATTTTCGGTGATTTGGAACGTACCGACATTTATGTGCCGACAGCATGATTTTGATTTTTCTTCAGTAGTTCCCACTTTTGGAATAACTCAAAACTCTAAAGATGATTTTAGAGGAAACAGAATAACAATATTATATGATCCTGGAGCTTTTCCGGAACTGGATCCTTTAAGGAATGGAGGTGTTCCTCAAGGCGGAAATCTTTCAGCGCATTTGAAAGCCTTTTCAGACAGTGTGAAAAAACTGATTCCAGATGAAAATTTTCGAGGTAAATTTATACTAATTAACGTAGTGATTTTTTATTATTGTTTGTAGAGTTTGCCAAGGAATTTTTATAAAGCTAACTATTAGTTCTTAATAAGAAATAATTATAGAACTTTTGATTTTCAGCTTTTGAACAACTGCAGAAAAGTAGGAAAAATATGGGAATTTTTATGTTGTAGTGGGCATTTATGTACGTTAACTTGTATCTACAGTTATTCTTTAGGAAGCCCTGAACAGATTTCAAAAATTATAAAATCATTTGGAAACACTCAAAGCACAATACGTAATTAATATTTGAAGATTGGGTTTTTACTATTATCTTGAAATCTTAATTAGAGCTATTGGGAATTGCGTTGATTACTTTAAAGAATAAAATTTGATAAAATAATTTCCACAAACTTCTGGTCTGTAATAAGTTAGTTTAAATGAAACTGATCGTGATTTTTCAAAATTCAACTAAAAGATTTTTCTAAGATTTTAATAATTAAGTAGCTTTGATATGTCTTAACTCTTGTTGATAAACTCGAATACTGTCTTATATCGGATAGCATCATATACCTTACAAATCATTTTTTAGTAAATGTACATTACATTTTATGTAAAACGTATGATATAAATTTAGTAAGGTTAACAATAATATATAAACTTTTTTACATTTTTATCTAAAATGTTATTCCATTTTATTATGTATTAAAAGCAAAAAAATACATACACTAGTAATTGCAATCAATAATTTGAGAAAAAAATAGTGTGAAATAAAGGTAAAATAGACCAAATGATATTAAAATCTGTCAAAATGCTGTGCGGTCAATTGTTTCAGATATAAAATTAATTAACTAATAGGTTCCAATACGAGGAATTAGATTTTATATATAAAAGACAGTTTTTAGCACATTTTATATGAACATACGCAGAGTAACATAGCCTTGCCATAATATTAGTCTATATTACGGTAGAATCGGCCTATTAATACAACCAACCATCATATTGAAATTAACCAACTATCTCTTTGCAGGATTGGGTGTCATAGATTTCGAATCGTGGCGGCCCATTTATCGTCAAAATTTTGGAGCATTCACTCCTTACAAAGAGGCGGCTATTGATTATGAGAGAAAGCAGCACCCATTTTTGCCACAAAAATTTATAAAAGAATTGGTAAGTAGAAAAATGCTCATTAACGCTAATTCAAATTGTATCTTCTGTTCTGTTCTGCTGAGAACATTAGAAATAATTAATTTCGTATAGTGCTAATTAATTGTATTATTTCAGGCAATAAGGAATTTTGAAAGGTATGGTCAAACGTTTATGGAGAAGACTTTAGACCTGGCTCAATCGATGAGACCAAATGCAACTTGGGGTTACTACGCGTATCCATACTGTTTTAACATGAATAATAACAATCGGCTGCCAGAATGTCCGAAAGAAGTAATTCCAGAAAACGATAGGTAATAATTATAGTAATTCAAATCAATATATATTTGTATCAATTGATACAACGTATAATAACAAATACTTAAGAAAATAAATATCGAACGAAATCTTACAATTTATTTCCATTGAAAGAAGAGTTTTGAAGAATCTTGAACGAAAGGTTAAATTTCTTCTCATTTATATAATCTCATGCAGATTATACTTTATCGTATTTTGTGCTCACACGATTCAGGGTGATTTGAAACTTTAAGAAACATGAAATTCTAAAATAATAACAGTGTCTTTGGGGTTTATTTCCATGAAGGTAATTTTGGTTTTATATTGAACCACACTTTGTAATTCAATAATTTATTTCACTTATTAGCAAGATTCTATAATATTATTAACTTCCCGTAGGGCAAGTTATAGTAATCGCAAAAAAATCGAAAATGAAAATTTTTATATATCTTTACGTTTCAAAGGTTTCTGAACATTTTGGCATACCTTAGAAAAAATGGATGTATGTGTGTGTGTGTGTGTGTGTGTGTATGTATGTATGTATGTATGTGCGTGTGTGTATGTATGTGCGGATACAAATTTTCGTCGACGATTTCGGGAACACGGATCAACCGATTTGAATAATTCAAAAAACATTCGATTCGTATTGATAAGGAGACGTGCTGATTAGTTTTTGGCGCAGGCAGGTCTAGCCGTTCCGAAGATACGGGGCAAAAAGTGCCGAAAACGGTAACTCAGTTTTTAAGAGAACGGAGCGTCCGATTTTAATAATTCAAAAAACATTTTACTTGTATTGACAAGATGTAGAATTCATCAAATTTTCATGAAGGCAGGTCTAGCGGTTTCGGAGATCTAATGAAAAAAGTAAAAAAAAAATGCCATTTGGCGGTCAAAAATGATCATTAGACATATGCACATCAAATTATCAGATATTTTATAGAGATTTTAACAATAGGTATAAATTTTTTTTACATTTCTATGGGTTCCGTACCAATGCTTATGCGTTAGACGGCGGCGCGGCACTTGCGAGCTTTGACATTTCGTCTCTATGCAGTTCAAGCAGTGCGATTGCTTTGAAAAAAAGTTCAAAATTTCTAAAATATGTCAAAATGAAGAAAACATTTTTTTAAAAAAAATTTTTTTGTTTAAAAAAAAATTTTTTTTGTTTAAAAAAAAAATTTTTTCTCAAATAAAAAATTTTTTTTTCAAAAAAAAGTAATTTTTTGTCAATTTTATAGTTTCTCAAAAATCTATTTTTTTTCGAAGTAAAATTTTTCAAAAATGTTAATCGTTTTTAAAAAAATAATAATTTTTGGTACGGGAAGTTCCAGCAATTTGCTTAAGGCACGATGCCCTAATTGCCTTAAGACAGAATTCCACTTACAGCTAGTTTTAGTTCAATTTTGACTGGTTTCGCGAGTCGGGCGGTTAACTTTAATAACGAATTTGTGACTACTTTCGCTTGTCATGCGGGTACTAGCTACATTAATGCTCGTAACGTACTGAAAATTATACCTAAAATTTTTGAGTAAATGTATTTTATTTCCCTGTATGAAGCGAACAGCTTTGTGCTTGTGCGATGTTGCATTTTTGTACATTGGAGCAGCAATTCGCTCCAGTCTTCAATATCTTTAAAAAGTCAAAATTTGGCGGAAGCCAACCAACTGCCTTTAATAGCAGCGACTCACATAAACTAAAAATTGGACTACTTTAGCAAACTCAACAAGAAAAAGCCAATGTAGATATTTAGACCTAAAATTACAAGTTGTTCTCTTATACTCATCAATATATTTATTTAAGTACGTATTACAAGTACATTTTCTTTTACAGAATGAAATGGCTCTTTTCATCATCGGATGCTCTATTTCCATCAGCGTATTTATCCGAAAACTCTTTCACCGTGGATCAGAGAAGGTCCCTCGTCCGAGGCAGAGTTCGAGAGGCGCTGCGAGTAAGAGACGATGACACGCCCGTATTCGTTTATTTGAGGACACATTACATAGACACAAAACATTTATTATCTAAGGTCAGTGAGAAAGATTAGATAAGAAATATTTAGGAAAACTAGTTGTGCCTACATATGAATCTGAGGCGATCGGAAAAAAATTATAGAATAATGGGCGCTCCACATGATTATTTGTGCAAATCTAGGATTGCGCAAACACAGATTTGCACAAATCATGTATCATGTGGAGCTTACGAACGTAACGTAACGTACCAAATTTGCAAGTCTGCGCAAGCAACCTGCACCTGTTTACGATTTTCGTAAGTTTGCACAAATAATAGTATCGTGAATATAGCCCATAATGTTTGAAACAATTTTGTACCAAAAAAAACTTGCAAAACGTCACTAATTTGTCTAATGGTTTTATAAGTAAATCAGCTAAAAAGAACACTATATTGTAAAGTCCAATGTAAAATACATAAAATGTACACTAAATGCGGTGCAATTTGATAAAGAAAAATGTTAGAATATTATATAAAATATTGTCGTATGATTTTCTAATTAGCAAAATAGAAAATTATTTTCAACTTGAACAAAACTATGAATAAATTCCATACATATAAATATTTGTTCGTATTTTGTCTATCATTTGTTTCTTATTAACAAATGATTCTGAAAGACTATTTCATGGTTTTTCACTCAATTCAAATATGTTAAAAAATCAAAGACAATCCTTTATACTGCATACGCTTTCAGTTGTAATTGGATATTTCAATGTACAAAATTCAAATCGACATCGAATATTGAGGATAAAAGAGTTCCGAAATATCTAAATTTTGCGTAATATTAGGTTGTCAAATATCCGCTGCTTTTTTGCTCTTGGTTTATAATACAAAAAGGCGGAAGGGAGATATTTGACAACCTAATATTTCACTATTTTTTTTAATTTGATTTATTTTGTGAACAAACTAAGCAGAGTAGTATAAATTATTTTGTCACTTTGTCATTAGTTTTCATTAAAATGTTATTGATTTTATTCAATTAATATCATGTATAAGATAAATTCTAACTAAGTTTACCACACCTTTATATCCTGACATGAAAATAGTTCTTTAAATAAAATCATACAAAGACATCCTAATATAATAATATGGGACATAAATAAAGCCAACCGTTGGGTTATTATCTGAAAATAAAATCTACGTTATTAGAAAGTTGATTGAATTGAATCAGGAGTCGTGAGTAATTTCGTTCTTCGAGCAGCCTGTTGTCAAGCAGTAGTAACAACAGTTGTCAGAGATAGAAATATGTTTCTAAAAGAAAATAGCCGTGATGCGGAATTGCTGCATCAACAAATATTTGCTCTTCTACATAAATTGTAATAATAATTCATCACACAGATATTAGACAACTGTTGTGGATTGCCATCTGTCGAACCGACTAGTATTAAGTCATATTAGCACATGTTCTGATTGCTGTTTAAAATAAAAGGACAGAAGCGGAAGTCATTACTACAAGCTTATTGGACTATTAAAAGTTTTTCACAATGCTAAAAATAATTATCTATATAATCATTTTCATCGCAGGTGGATTTGACCAACGCTTTTCACGAAATGAAAAAGAACGGAGGACGTGGAGGAATTCTATGGGGAAGTTCCTCCGATCTCAATAGCTATGAAAAATGCAGAGACTTTTACGAATACACTACGAAAACACTTGGACCTATAGCCAAAGCATTTATACAACATTAATGCTAAAATAGAATAAGATATTTTTATAAGATAATTTTTTTATCAGTATTTTAAGTATTTTCTAAGTCACTATTTATTTATGAATAATTGAAGTACTTATTTTTGTTAAAGTTTTAATTTTGGAATAATAAAATGATTCAAAAATATTCTATTGTATATATTAATATTATATTGGATGCATTTCTAATTGATGTAATGTTTGCAAAAGTTTTACGTATAACGGATAGTCATCATTTGCTGTATTTTGATTGAAAAGTGATATAGATTTATTGGAAAACTGAAAAGTTCAAGTGAACAAATTGGCTCTACCAGCAGCCGATTATTTACATGTAAAGATTAACAATGTTTCTAGTAACAACTTAACGCAACAAAATGTTTCTAGTAACTATTTAGGTTCAGGCATAGATTATTTCATTAGAGGCAACATTACAGGTATAAATAATGCTGGATAAAAAGGGCCAAGGTATGAGTTGGCCCAAAGACAAAAAACTATGTCTTTGCTGTTCACATAAAAGCTAACCTCCAAAAGTCACAAACGTCAGAACACTTTATGTTATCGAAGTGTATGTTATCGAAGTGAAAACAGAAAGTTGCACGCTTGATAAAATTGTTACGATTTTGACAAATAATACAATTAAACTAATAATGTAACTTCTAAGGGTATATCATCAGATACTAAAAACTCTATTCTAAAAAGTCTATTTAGCATAAGCTTCTTCAAGCATGTTTAAATTTAAATACTTGAAAAAAACTACCCACAATTACAAAGATGTTTCGAAACCAGGAGATAAACCGATGGTTTGCACGATTCTTCATGGTCACATGATGGTTTTAGAAAGTTTTACAATAATGATAAACAGCAATATTTTTAATAGGTAAATAACATTTTTTAAATAACAACGGCCATGTAAAAAACGTTGAAGCCGTTCAGAATATAAAAGTGCCGATTTTCTTTTACTAATAATTTATTTCAACAGATAAATAAAAACTAACAATATTTAACAACATCTTTTTTAAATGTAAATATATCTGATCTGATATGCGAAAGAGATATCACAATGCACCAAAGTCAACTACAGTTGAACAAATATAAAACATACCAAAATCATCTATGGAGATCTTCAAATTTAGCCCTCAGCACAGTAGTGTAGTTCTGGTCACCAATAAATACGAAATGTTCATCTTCAGTTGTCAGTGTCACTAATTTATTTCCATGTGGTACTGTGGAAGCTGCAAAAACTTCCCTGAATCCGGCAACTCCTTCGTAACGCATTATTGATAATGGCCTGGCTTGTTGCCTGGACAACACATAGAGCATCAGTTCATTTGAAATTGGTAAAACTGCAAATTTGACCTGCTGAGGTGCCATGGAGGGCACAGATTGGGCCAACTCGAATAATTGCTTTGAAGGATTCAATCTGGAAATTAACAAGTATAAATTAAAAAAAAAAATCAAAGTAAATAGTTTTAATTTCCTAATTCACGTTCATTTTTGAGTTTCTTATCTGAAGAAGAGATTGGATACATTTTTTGATACACTTATGAAAAAACTTATATAGCTTCTCATTGTATTATTTTTAGTAGAGAAAATTAGCAGGTGCAAGTAACAGGAGTATAAGTTCTTAGAATGAATGAATATTTTAATAGTATCTATTTAAATACGTAATTTAAACTTGCTGTTAATCTAAATACCTTATTAAAAATATGACAGGCCTTAATGATATTTGAAATGAAGTACATGCAATTTAATATTTTATATGATTTTATATTATTTAATTTGCTCATTTGTAATTTATCTTCATCTAACGTATGTAACAATAATATTTCAATTATATTACCTATAAATTTCCACAAAACCATGGTGCATTGCTCGTTGCACTTTATCAGAAGCAATAGCCAAAAATACATCCTCACTTCTTACTTCTTCCGATATATAATCATTAGTTTCATAATTTTTGGTAAATTCAATATTTGGATCTGTAATTTGAGGCTCTGCCAACATTTTCCTGTAAACCGTTTGTGAGTTATCATCTTTATTGTTTAAAACCAAAGATATAGATGATGGTCTTGTTGGTCGTAAAGTCTGCAATATCTTTGAAGGATTTTTCTCGTTTAAATTATTTACTAAATAAATAACAACTGAACCAATCGGTAAGCCTTGCTTCGATTTTTGCTGTAGTAAGAACACCAATAAAGTTCCAATTTTAGATTTCACTATGTTCACCTAAATAATAAGAAAAAAAATCATTAGAATATCTTGTTTGTATCGTTTTTTTGCAAAATTTATTGTGTAATTTATAAGCAGTATAAATAGTCCATCACTCACCGTCATTACTCCAGGTGTAATATATGTATCCAATAGAACATAATCCAAAGCATAATCCATTTTACATTTGAGCTCAGTTTGAGAATCCAATATTACCAAACACTTCTTATTTTCTATCAAAACTGGTACAATATTTTTAACGTAGTTCAATTCATTCGAATTAGTGTCCATTTCAGTAGAAGGTTGGGATGATATTAGTCCTGGAAAAAAAGATGATTACACAATAACTATTATGGTAAATAAATCTTTAAGAACTTGTCGAATAATATTCTTAATTTGTTTTACTGAAATATTTCCATGTTTTACACATTCTTTAGTACATATATGTCATTTATCTAATAATAATGGGTCTTATTAACTTCCCGAAGGGTAAGTTAGAGTAATAGTCCAAAAACCAAAAATGAAAATTTTAGCATATCTTTGCGTTTATGTATTTATGTTTATGTATTTCTGATTGCTGAATAAGCCAAAGTTAAAAAAAATCTTTGCGTTTTAAAGGTTTCTGATCATTTTGGCATACCTCAGAGAAAATGGATGTGTGGAGACAATTTTTCGTCGACGATTTCGGTGCATGATTTTTTTAAATTATTTTTTTTAAATATCGGATTGTAATTATAAATTTAGCTAAAATTCTAAAGTTCACTTATATATTCGACATAAATAATTTTAACTTTGCAATTCAATATATGAAATTCTTTAAAAAGAAATAAGGCCCTTTAATTGTGACATCACTTGTTTTATTTTTTTACTTTCGCACAATATCTACGCTCTTATATTTTGTCTATAAAATACGAATAATGAAAATTATAGTATTTATAATGACCCATTTGAAATTTTTTGACCATTTCATTACGGTACGGAAAATTTCAGCAATTTGCCTTAAGTACAATGTAAAATTATTTGAGTATTTTTGATGAGCCACAATGATCAGATTGTCCCGAAACGTAAAAATAAAAAAACTATTTCTGATTTCAGTAACTTACCTTGCAGGTAAAGTTAGGTGCAAAATTAAATTAATTCGATCAGAAACAGAAACAAAAAAAAGTATTTAATAATCGAATTTACTTAGTCTTTACCTGTTTGGTATTCAAATTTATTGGTATCTTTATTCCAGTACATTGATTGCATGTTTCCATCATTATATACGGAAATGCTTTCTGGATAATTATGCCCATATGTATAATTATTGACATCACCTTCGATTTGCTGAACAACCTCGTAGTGGTGCAAAAATCTTGCTTGTGCTAAAAGGAAGTAAAAATAAGAAATTGAAAAATTGCCTCTAGTAATAATTTATGCCTTTTCTTTTTGTCATTATGTGTAGTTTTTTATATTAAATTGATTAGTGAACTATTCAATTCTTTGAAAGAGATTTTCAAATGAATTCAATTTCAATTGCATTTGAAAAATAATGTTACTTATCAACCAATAGAAGACAATTTTTATAACTGCTAAAGAATCTATTTAGTTTTTATTATATCAACTTACACTCAATATTATGCTTAAGTAAATCAGCTACATAATTTAAATATGCAAAGTCTGAATCCATGTTTTCATAATTTATAAATGAAGATACATTGGTTATATCCCTTTGTAGTACTGGCAAATCAACTCCATATACTAAAGATGCTGATTTAATCGGTTTTCCAGTGATTTCTGAAATAAAAGGTGTATTATCAAAATTCATAAAAAATAATAAAAAATTCAAGAAAGTAAACAATCAAGGGGGCATCCATTAATCACGTGAGATTTTTAGGGAGAGGGGGGGGTTTGACAAAAAATCACGAAATATCACGTGGTTGAGGGAGAGGTATAGTAAGATATCACGTGTATTTATTTTTTAACTTATTTTTTTTTAAAAAAGTTCAAACATTTTCAAGAAATTTTTTTTCACGTAACTTAACTCGTTACGAGAAAAAACTGTAAAATTTTTGACGTAATGTTTGGTGGGGGAGGGGGGGTAATTTTGAATATCACCATGTATCACCAAGGTGAAGGGGGGGTCAAAAATCCTTGAAAACTCGCTCACGTGATTAATGGACGCCTCCCAACATATTTTGAAAACAAATTTTAATACAATAACTGAAATATTGTTAATGTTCATCATTGACAATAAATTAATTATATGTAAAGATAATACTCAGCTAGTATTACTCAGTTAATTTTGAATTTCTGCCATATATAGATTTTACAGTGCTTAAAAAATATGTCTAAAGAAAAAAATAAAAGACCGAATATAGATATTTCTAATATTAACTTAAATATATAAAATGTGTATGTTCAATTTTAAAAAATAATTGAGGTATTGAATATATCTCTACTATTAAAAATATTTCTAAACATTAAAGGTATGCTTTGTGGTATGTGTTAAATAATTTTACCATTTAGTGCTATTTTAAAATGATTTTTTTATAAAACTTTGAGAAATTTAATTATGTTTTTAAATACTAAAAAAATCTGATATGATATAATGATGTTGGCAATATAAAAGGCGTTAAAAACTTACATCAATTGTATAAATTAACAATTTTATCATAATATATTAAATTAAATATATTTAAGCATAATTACTTTATACAAAGACTTAAAATAATTATAAAATTTACCTCTAACATTTAGTTGCTCCGTGAACTTCAAGCCCTTTCCTTGAAATACAAAACTGGAGTAACCGTTTTCATCATTATTTAAAATGACCAGATCATACAAGAAAGCTTCTAGCAAAGCTATTCGAAGATTATTTATTTGAAGCACATGATTATATATTGAAGCCATTGAATTTTGATCATAGATTGGCAAAAATTCTTTGGCACCAGTTATCGTCTGATTGGAATATTTGAGAAGAATTGTGTCTTTATTGAAGGTGAGGCCGTTTACAAGCCCACTGGTACTATGAAAAAAAAATATATATAACATATAATAATTATTTCGTGATTTGAAATATAAATCATTTTTAAAATTATAATTAGTCATGTTATTTATTTACATACTAATCTTTGCTTAGGTGACTGCATCCTAAAATTTTGAAGTCAAAGAATAATTATGAATGCACACAAGAAATCTATTAAACAATCAGTGACCCATACACAAAATATCTTAATGAACATTTTCAGCTAGAGTAGACTATTTAAGTTAAAGATTAATCAGAGCCATATTGGAATAAAAATCATGATAGTTGCAGTTAAAAAGTCTTCCTATCAGAAACACCACAAAATTTACAAAAATCCTTTGATTTAGTTGTAAGCACTAAGAATATTTCGATAACTTTTGATAGATATTTTTAGTTTCAATATAAAATTGAGACTATTATGGTCTACTTACACTATTCCATCTTGGAATATACCACCATTAACTAAGGTAACCGGAGCTTCTAAAACATACAAATCTGTATCGGAATAACAAGCAACTGAATTTTGGAACCAATCATTTATATTAACACCACCCAATAAAACATCATTCTTCAGCAGCAATGAGTTGATGTTGACGGTGTTGAATATTTTGTGTCCAATAATGTAATTCGTGGTGGAATCATATCTCATAACATCATGTTCAAAATCTATGTTGTTGATGATTCCGTGTAAATCTCCTGGAAATAATATTTATTCATATCTGTATGTTTGATCATGCCATTTTAAGTTTTAATAATTTTGTCAAAAATATTCTGTTTATATTCTTTTATTAATAAATGACTTAATTGGATGAATAAAAATAATATCTTCCTTATAATCTTGGTAAAGATTATATCATAAATCTTGGTAACTATGCATAAAAGGGAAATCCAGAATATCACTGATAGATCAGGATAAAATTCGTAGGTGTTGATTTAGACAGATTTTATTTAGACTTCCAGAAGAGCAAATTCAAATTTGAAATATAGACTTTTCTATACTAAATACTACTAAAAATCTTTTCCAAGTATTGAAATATGTCAAGAATACTAAAAAAATAAAATAAATCAACCATGGTGAAAAATATTACAAAGTGTGGTAACAGCAAAATCATATTAAACGAGATTTAAATTTTAAATAAAGAAATAAAAACTATTTTTAATTTATTTTGCAAAATATTGAGAAATTAGTTACTATAAATTTAAAGTCATATGTTTACATACCTTGAATAATTAGTTTGTCAAAAATAAATTTTCCTTCTAAAACTTGCTCAGTGTATTTATTCAAGGAGTCGTATAAAAATTCTGGCAAACTTTGTATTCCATTTATAGAACCAATAACTTCAACAGAACTGGTTGCCAATAGATTGGACAGAAAAGTGTTTTTGCCTTGGAATTCAATATACCCAGTGATTGTCTGATTTTTAGATAAACTGAAATAATTGTTCTCAATCCAATTGAGATCCACATTATTTACGAGATTCTGAAAATAAGTAAAAAAAAACAAAATTATTTCACTGTGATTTTAAAAATATTAATAAATAAACGGTTTGTTTATTACATTGGCTATAATTTCAGATCCAAATTTGGCGTCACCAAATTGTTTTTCTCCAGTTATTGTAGTATCCTTATTGGAAAACCAAATTCCATTCAGAAGCTTGTCCAAATCATAACCATTCAGATCCAGAACGTCTACATCAGAAATAAAGTTTGCAGAACCTGTATACATTAAAATTCATTAGTAATGCTTACTATATAATTAAATTACCTAATTACTATTAATATACTTAATATTATAGAAAAGAAAACTTACCTAATATTTTCAAATTGTTACCAATTTCTAAATTACTATCAACAAAGGCACAGAAGTTCTCAATATCGATGGATCCCAAATATCCAGTAGATAATGTTGGCAACCCCATTATTTTTAAATTACTGAATTTTTTGATACCTACAAATAAAGTGTCGATTTTTTAATAATATATATGAATGTTCATAGATATGATTTGTTAGAAAAAATATTATTGGAGTAATTCTTACCTGAGACATGTTGCAAATTTGCGGCATATTTTAGGAGAATATCATCAGGAAAATTTAAATTGGATATATTTGTCTTCACCGTAAATCCAGCCAAAGTCCTGAATCCATTTTCTAAAATTGGATAAGATTAATTAAAAATTGTTTGGAGCCTAAATACATTTTTAATATCTTATTATATAATAATCTCTAAATAATTGAACTATTATTGCTTATGTTAAGCCAGATGTGAAGTGCCTACTACGTGTTTTATTATAAACAATATTTTAATTTTCTCAATATATTTCAATTACAGATTAAAAAAATAAGACGCAATTAAAGCCCAATTAAAAATATAAATGATAGAAGTACTCAAATATTGTAACAGCAGTTTTTTGTTTGTATGTCGATTTCTAACAAATTCTTTCAAAAAATTGTATTTTTTCTTCAAATTAAATTCGAAAACCCTCTAAAAAATCATACTCAAATATTTATTTTTACAATACTGAATTGAGCAATATTTAAGAAAGTCAATGAAAAATGGACTAAATCTCAGAATTTTGAAGAACTTAGTTTAAAATTGAAGAATCGAAAGCCCGAATCAGAAAAGCTAAAAGTAAATTATCCAAAAAAAAACTATAATATAAAAAATGCAGTAAATTGAATATTTCAATTAACAAGTTTCAAAGAATATTCAATTTTAAAAATCATGGTTTGGTCATGAATCAGCAAAAATCACTTTTAATCTGGCCCATACTACAAAATCGTTAATTTCTTTCATATTACAATAAGGTTCTAACCAATTAACTTTTATAATATAATTAATATAATTCTTACCAAAATCAACATATGGAAGCACATAATCTTTGTTGGTATACACCACTGATTTTTGAAGATCAGGAATATAAATGCCATTTAGAGGGCCATCCATTGCAATAGGACCTTCAGTAATTACTTTTGAGATTGTTATTGGAGCAGTAATGACCTGACAAAGGACATTTGGTATAATGTTAATTTAACTTGTTTTATAATAAACATTTTATAATATGTAACGCAGTACAATAATTAACATGAGGTATGGAATTTGACAGAAGAATCGACATAATATTCAAAAAAATTTAGATGTTAGTATATGTTAGTTACCACATTGCAAATTTGCGACTAGGAATGTTCATTAAATTGTTTCAAATAACAAATATAGTATAAATATTATTTACCTGTTCGCCTTCAACTAACAGCCATTGTGATCCAAAATCAATATGTGAAACTCCATCTAAAGAACCAGTATAAGTAAGTTTCTGCACAAATATTGGCTGGTCAATATGAATTTGACCTTCGTAAGTTTTAGTATAAGTAGTCGCTGCTTGTCTAATTTCACGTCTTTTGTACTCAGGAAGATTTAGACCTAAAATGTAATTTAATTATTATTAATTTTTTTATAAAGCAAACTATACACTCAGTATTATTATTAATTTATTGCGATATTATACATATTTATCAATCAACATTTTATCTATCGAATGCTGTCAATATTGAATTGCTTCTAGTTCAGCAAGAATTTTTTTAACATAGGTAATAATTTATCAGGTTGGAAACTAAGTAAGTGCGGTTTTTAGCTTAGTTAATTTTTAGTCTAAATATAAAATACCTTTTTATTAAGTAGTAGGCAACTCAGTTCGTTAAAAGAAAGTAGTTTTCGTTCGTTGAAAGATAGAAAATAAAATCGTAGTTATGAGTTGTTTATGGTGACTTTAAACAAAAACAGCAGTGTTAAAATTGGTTTGCCAATTTTCGTTCTGGCAATTTTTTACTAAAAGATGAAAAACGCTCTTGTCGTCCAGCTAAAGTTGATTAAAAAGGAATTGTCTAAAATGCAACGATCAATTCTAATGTTACATTAAACAACTAACAAAATTTGAAAACGAGAGAAGCGGCCTAAGTTGACAAGTGGTGATTTATTCTATTATTGGCATCATATCTTTGGGAAAAAAGTATTGGAGCTTAGTTGAGATGTTTTGCCACATCCACCATATAAAAGTATATAAATAAAGTGATATAGTGATCTTATAACATATGATTACTTTTATTTTCGATCTTTACTAATCTTCTTGAATGCGGAATAATTCAAGGACTACGATGGTGTCAAATTGTACCTTATTCAGTTTGTTTTGCGAACAAAAATTAGAAGTGGGATTTTTTAAATTTTCTACATTTTATACATATATTTTATTTTATGAAAGTCGGATGATAATGCTGCTTGAAAGATGATAAAAAGACTGTGATCAAAATGAATAAGGTATTTCAAAATAAAGTCATTCAGTTCCATGAAAAAGATGTATACGGTTTTTTCTTACGAAAATCCGCACTTAGTTTCTTATTTAACATTTACCGTAACTCGTCAATTTTTAGAAAATAATTAGATTTATTATTTTTACTGTAAATTGCTTAAGACGATGTATGGGGATATTAATAAAATATTAATTCAAGAGAAATATATAAACAATTTTTTTATTTATCATCCATTGAGTAAATAATATAATAACTAGTCGGATGTATGGCATCTTCTCCCAATCAATACTAATTGAATGTTTTTCAGATCATTAAAATCGGATGCTCCGTTCTCTCAAAAACTCGATTTCTATTTTCTGCACTCTTTGCTCTTTATCTCCGTAACTTGTGGACTTGCCCTTGCCAAAAACTAATCAGCACATCTCCCTATCAATAGCAATCGAATGTTTTTTAAACCATTTAAATCGGTTGATCCGTGCGCCCGAAAACGTGAACGTAATATTGTATCCATACACACACATCAATTTTTTGTGAGGTATGCCAATATGTTCAGAAAGCTTCAAAACGTGAAGAAATGTAAAAATTTTCAATTTCGATTTTTGGACGATTACAATAACTTACTCTACGGGAAGTTAATAAAATATAATAGAACTTACCATCATTTTTAACGTGTAATTCGCCCACTGTAAGATTCTTGAAAGTCTTAGATGCAAACACATGTCTTTTATCTCCTCTCGTTATACAATCCGAATACAGGTTATTCATTTGCTGCACCAAATCTTTTTCATTGTATCCCAATTTACCATTTTGGGTTTGATCTAAAGTTATTATATTTTGTACTTCAAGATATCCAGCTGAACTTTCTTTTTCTCCGACCAGAATGATTCCTTGATTGAAGTACTGATCCGTAGATGAAGTTAAGTAAAGGGAGAGTGGTTTGTACCCAAGGGTAGTAGATGATGAAGTTATCCTGGTAAGAAATAAATTTCAAGTGTACATATATTAAATGCATAATATTATATAATTTTAGAAAATAGGACTACATTTCAGCCATTTAACCTTCTATATGAAATCTGTTGAAAATGCAATACTGAAAGTATTTATTATGAAGTATTTGTAGGAAACAATATTTTTTAAAACCAATGCCAAAAATTATTACCATTAGAAGCAAAAATTTCCGCATAAATACTTTGCGTTATACGTTTTTTTTTTCAAATTAAATTTAATATTTCATAGTTGAATGTACAAATATTAATATCAACAAATAATATTCATTCCCCACTTTATTACTATATTTCACAATATATATAATTACCTATCACTTGTGATTTTCTCAAAGACAACCCTGCCAGCAACTTTTTGAACTCGATCACTATTGCTCAACAAGGTATTAGTCAACATTTCTGGTACATTTATTCCATTGACGGTATTCAAAAGTTTACATGAACCAGAAATTTGTAAATCAGAAGTAAATATTTTTCTTCCACTAATCACAGTTGGAATCTCGCTGGAATACACCCATGAATCTACAGGTACTTGGTTAATGTAAGGTACGTTTAAATTAGAAACCTGGAAGACATTAAAATATGAATTGATGTGACAATTGGAAATGATATAAGAAATTTGCTCATATAAAATGGTAAACTATGATACTGAAATTATAGTTCATATTCAGGTGTAACATTGAAAATTTATTGTAGGTCATATGAAATAAAATGTAATTCCTCGTTTGATTTTTTGTTATTTCTATAATAATCTGTTGCTAGTTAATATGTACAATATCATCAAAATTATTATAATTTATAATGAATGAAAATCTTTTAAAGATTTGTCGTTTATTTTTGTACCTTAAATGGTTGGGTAAACTCAAAAGGTATTGATATTTCTGATGCTTCCAATTTAAGTCCATGTTGCAGTAAATTTGAAACAGTAGGAGAGTTGCCAATAAGATCCGAAGTATTGGATGTAGCTACAATAGCATCAGCGCCCAAATACTTACGAATGGTTACAGAGTTGTCCAAAACAAAATCACCTGTATGAATATAAAAATTTGAATAGATTTATCCGTCAGTAATTTTCAGTGACCTAATAAGAAGATACGATCATTAGTTTTGTAGATTCCAAATTTGTATGTTACTCCTAATGAAGACTACAACAAGTTTATTGTATTTCATAGCAAAAGACAAGTTTTAAAAGAGACTAGTGGGGTGAACGGCATCGTGCCTTAAGGCGAATTTCTGGAACTTCCCGTACCGTATCGAAATGTTCGAGGAATACTGAATGTTTTCAAAAAGATTATTATAAATATTGTAACATTGTCTAATATTTATAAGAATTATATAAACTGAATTGCAAAGTTGTAATTATTTGTTTAAAGTATATTAGAACTATCGTCAGAATTAAAAATAAAATCTGAATTATTTTCGATATACAAAAAAATTTAAAAAAAAATTTAAAAAAAAGTTGAAGCAAAAAAATTTTTTTTCCAAAATGAATTATTTTGTTAAGACAAGCAGAAAGTTCTTTGAATCATTTATATCGGACGCTTAGTTCTCTCAAAAGTGCTCCGTATCTTCGAAATGGCTGGGCATGTCTTCGCCAAAAACTAAAACACTTCTCCCAATCATTACTAATTGAATGTTTTTTAGATTATTGAAATCAGATGCTCCGTTCTCTCAAAAACTCGATTTCTATTTTCCGCACTCTTTGCTCTTTATCTTCGTAACTGCTGGACCTGCCTTTGTTAAAAACTAATCAGCACATCTCCCTATCAATAGGAATCGAATATTTTTTGAACCATTTAAATCGGTTGATCCGTGCACCCGAGAACGTGACTGGAAAATTGTATCCATACATACATACACACACACACATCCATTTTTTCTGAGGTATGCCAAAATGTTCAAAAACCTTCAAAACGTCGAGAAATGTAAAAATGCCCTACGGGAAGTTGAAAACTGGGGTCGAACTAAGTTATGAAATTGAAATGAATGAAATACATCGTTTCAATCCAATGATTTACAAGATGAAAAATATATATTGAAATCTTTTTAAATTTTTTAATTATTCAACTTGTGAAACGACCCATTTAATACATATCGTAAAAAAAAATTATAAATACCTTCCAAAATTAAATTTTCGCCTATACTGCTAACTGGATTCATTTTATCAAGAGCTGAACTGTCGATCATTCCTTGTAAATCTATTGGATCCAAGAGCTCGACACTTTCAAACACTTTATTACCCACAATTTTCTGTGGTTTATCTGAATCTTTCAGCAAAATCTGCAGTTCTCCATTTTCCGCCAAAATATTGTTCAAACGATTTAATATTTTTAAATCATTCTGAACTTGGAGTGGTCTTTTGAAAGCTATATCTTGATCTAAAACATAAACACCTTCTACAGTGTTTATTAGATTTTCCGGTCGCACATTGGATAATTCTGGACCCACAAAATTATTAGCATAAAGTTCTGGTATTTCATAATCACCAATAACTTCTTGATTACCATACTTTTTCAAGGAATTCTCATAAAGCATTGCAATATTTATACCATTCAGAGTATCAGTTTTCAGATCTTTTATATTTAGATCATCATTGGTAACATAGTATGATGTTTCTCGTTTTCGTCTAACATCCACTTTATTCAAAGTGGGTGAATTTATTAAATGAGTTTTCAAATGATTGACCTCGAGAAAATTAAAATATTGGTCAGTATTATTCAGAATAATCACCGTGGAATCAAAAGTAGCATTATTTATTAAATGAGTACTCAAACTTTTTTGTACCAACGCATTATCTATAATCAAAGTTTCAAATTTATGATCATGGCTCTTAAATAGTAAGCTATCTATCGGTCGACCATTAATTTGGCGAAATTCTAAAGTAGTGTCAATGGTCAACTTATCGAATTGCAACACGTCAGAAAGTTGGTTTTGCAATATTTTAGATCTGATTTCATCAAAGTCTTGATTGTTGAAAAATTTAGTTTCAACTTGGTCTAGCTTGGTGCTTGTTGCTATAATTCTGGGTGCAGATAAGGATCCTCGAAGTTTAAAAGGTTTATTGGTATGGATCAAGGTTTCTGATTTATTTAAGAGAGCATCCACATATCCCATGTGATGACTTAGGTCGCCATGAAGATTGTTGATGTTCCGAAGGACTGTGTCGTCTATCAGGTAATTGTCAGTCCAAATCTGAAATGAAGTAATACACTAAATACATAATAGTTTCAGTCAGTGTAATAATAGTAAAACAAATCAAAACGTTTTATTAACTTCCCGAAGTAGAAGTTTATGTTTTCATCAAAAAATCCGAATTGCTAATTTTATGTTTTCTCGACGTTTCAAGCCATTCTGAATCGAATGAGACCAAATTTGGAAAAAGTATGTTTGTGTGTGTGTGCGTGTATGTGAACAGATTTTTTGCCGTAAATCGACGTTTTCTCGAAAACGGTTGGACCAATTTCAAAAATTTAAACGCCACTCGATGTATCTCGATGAGAACTATTGTTTGTCAATTTTGTGCGACGATCAGCCAAGCCGTTTCTTTATAAATCGCAGAAAAGTGAAAAATTTTTCGTCTACGTTTTAGCCCGCAATTCTGAATCGATTTTGAAAATTCAAAAACCGTTTGAAAGATATTGGTTGGGAATCGCGCTGATTAGTTTTTGGTAGAGATCGGCCGGGCCGTTTTCCTGTAATAAAGTTTAAAAAAAAAAATTCGACGATTTTTATGATTATTTTTTTGACGGTAGATACCATAGTCTTCTAGATTATACATATATTACGGCCCTACTACGACAACTGGTTTAGCTTTAAAAATTCGTCAAAGTTGGCAAAAATTAGTATGGTCTTTTTGGCATTTGTCAAAATTAGGACTTTCATCGACGTTTGCTCAAAAACGCCTGAACCGATTTCAGATATTTAAAAAGCTCGATGTATCTCGATGAGGATTATCGTTTCTCAGTTTTGTGCGACGATCGGCCGAGCCGTTTCTTTGTAATTTGGAAAAAAGTGTTAAACCTTTCGTCCACATTTAAGCTCATACTACCGAACCGATTTTAAAAAATCGAAAACTGTTCAAAAGATATTAGTTGGGAATGATACTGATTAGTTGTAGGTGAAAATCTACCGAGCCGTTTTCTTGTAATTAACTGTTGAAAAAAAATTTAGGCCGATTTTTATGGAACTTTTTTTTGCCGATATATATCATGGTCTTATAGAACTTACTGAATTATTACGGCCTTACGACAAGTAGTTTAATTTTAAAAATTCATCAAAGTTTGAGATAATGAGTAATTTTTTTGACGTCTGTTAAAAATAAAATTGGATGATTTAGTTGGTATAACGATAGTGTACTTGGTCTTGAACATAGTAAACCATTAAAGTCCTACGGAAACTGGTTCAATTATAATTATTGATTGATTAAAATTATTGATTTTTGAAAATTTGCTTTTAGAAAATAATCCGAGTTAACGTGTTCTTTCTTTTGCAATGGTGTGTAATAAATCCACTCGGAATACTTATAACCACTCATAAATTAATTTATTTTTTATTGATTAAGTCGATTATTTACACATATCGGGAAGTTCATGTAACTTGCCTCAAGGCTAAATACCAAACCAACTAGTTTATTTATCATTCACAATAATTATTTAATTTCAGGAGCGAGATTGAATAATAATTATAATTATTATTCATAGTAACTTCAAAAAAAACTATATAGAGGTCTTCGAATATATTGTTTTTTTTCTAATAAATCTAAGTTTCCACATCATAATGATACTTACAGCATCTGTGGAAAGTTTTCCAATATGCACGTCATTCGCGAAATCTATTGTTCCTGGTATATAGACAACAGGGTCAGTTAATTTTGGAGCAAGTGCCATCTGATCTACAACTACTGCCGAGTCAAATTGAGATGCTTCAGCCAATCTGCTTTGACACCAAGCAAGCATATTTGCCTTCTCTGTGTCTATGGATGTTGTCACTTTGAATATTGGCCTGAACATATTTGGTTGAGTGGATAAACCATTTTCTGGATTTGCGACAACTGAAAAAGAAAAAAACTGTTTAACACAATAAATCTACTAATAATAAATTAAAAGTTTTTATCATGTAAGAAACGTGTACCTAGAACGGGTTGTCCTAAAAAGTTCTGCATCCTTATGGATTTAATACCTCTGCCCAAAGCATCTCCTCCAAATTCTAAAGGTGCTTCTACAAACTTCCACCCGTCGTAGTTAAATGCTCGAAGACCTTCGTAATAACAGTTTACAAGTAAAAAAGGTTTTCCATTTGGATCCTAAATTGATTATTGGTAATTTTAATAAAAAATAATAAAATATAGAATTAAATTTGGAATCAAATATTAATCGCCACCTTGAATGGTAACCATTCTGTTGCTGAGTATAATTCGAATCCTTGAAAAGGCACGAAGTAGTTTTCAGAAAATTTATACAATATGGATGCAGTTTTAAAATCTTTTTTACCATTGATATCTGCAAGATATAAATAATAATTAAAAATTAATAATTTTTGCATTAGTTACATCATGTTGCTTATATTCTATATAAATCAAAAAGTTTTTATCAAAATAATTATTTTAGCAAGATGATTCTCGTTTATAAGTGTTATTTGCACAAAAAGGAAGAAATATCTAATTTTATGGCATTACTTTTATAATATTGAACCTGTTTAGCCAACAAATTGCAAATTATCTGAGATAGGAGTCATTGGCTGAGTACAAGCAATTATTTATTTGATATATTAATAAATTAATTAATCAGTGGTTTACAACCTTTCTTGCACCGCGCCCCCTCTCCCTCTCTAATAAAAAAAAATTGTTGTGTCCCTCCTTAATTTTTTCAACAATTTTTATTTCATTAGTACTTAATTGATATCATGAGACAACAAATTAACATGCAATATCATGTAAAAATATGCATAAAATATAATTATTTTTTCGTTTATCTTTTATATTAATTCAAAATTTTTGAATTATTTTAGAAAATAGTATTTAGGAAAGTGTCGCACGCGTCTCCCTGTTACACCCACGCGCCTTCCAGAGGAGGCGCGGCCCACAGGTTGGAAACCGCTGAATTAATGTATTATTAATTGATGTATGAATTGATTAATTACGCTAGTTGTACTATGAGTTTTACATCTAATGATCAATTTCTTAGATAACTACCTATTTCGTATTGATTGGCAATAAGCAAAAAATGTTGTTCAGCAGCTTCCTCGTATGTAGATTCCTGATCTACAATGTTGAAATATTTAACATCCACAGCAGCATGTGTCGATAAATGTTGATACAAAATAAAACGATCTTCATGGATATCATATCGATAAATTGGACTGTATGCATCAGTCACACCTTAAAAATCAAGGTCAAGGTCAAATTATTTAATAAAACGTATATAATAAATTAATAGCAAATGTTTGTCAATGCCTTGACTTGATGAAAATAGAAAGATGTCTTGGCTTTACAAAAAATCGTAACAAAGAGAAATTTTTCATTTTTAATGTCTTCATGCATCTAGTATATTTATAGCTTTTATAAATTTGTTTCAAGTCCTTTAACTTTTCTATAGTTTAGTACTATATATTTGTTTGCAATATTTAGACTAATTTTTGTAAAAATTAATTATATTAGATTATATTAGATTAGATTTAATGTTACCATGTTTATTTCTATAATTAGCAATTATGATGAATCTTTCGGATCCAATAGTAAATTCCACCACTTTTCTGGCATCAGATGCAGCTAAATTATCCACAATATCAAAATGTCCTCCGAGCCACCGATATACTACCGATTTAGTTTCACCAATGTTACTCAAATTTTGATTTCCAATCGCCAGACCCATATAAAGGTGGTCAAAATCCTCCCTGAGAAAAAAAATAATAACATTTTTATTCAAAATTATATTTTTGTAATTAAGTAAGCATTTTCATTCAGAAATATATTTTAAACATTATTTATTTAATCAATGGAAAACGCCCACTTTTTTCTTGACTTTTATCCCATTTCAACTATATTAATTTGTGAAGGATGGAGATTCAAAATAACACAAACAAAGTAAATAAATACAAATTTGCATTACTATAAGCAGTGATATTTTGTAATATCAATCCAATATCAATTTTCAACTTACTATTACTATAAAATTTAATATTCTAATAACACTATAGTTACCAAAATGTGACATCATATGCAAGAGAAGTCCCCAACATCTGCACTGGAATAAGAACATTTTGCCAAACATCAACTTCGAACAAAATTGATCCTCTCCATTTATTTAGTTCTAATACATGTTCATCATCACATGACGCTACAACAATGTAAATTTTATCATCAATATTCTTCGAAAGGAGTTTTGTAGCTTTTGGAACAGGAGTACTGAACACTTTAGTGAACGATGCATCCTAGAAAAAAAGTAATAAATTCTTATATTAGATCCAAATATAAGTGAAAAACAAATACGAACTCTAAATTTCTTAATAAATTATGAAGATTTATCAAAATAATTGCCATAATGTAATTATAGTACATACTTTGTGAGTTATCGAATATTTGTACAGAACCATATAATAAATATAAATGTGCAGGCATTTGTTAGGAATGTGCTTATTATAATATTTATAAATAAACAATTAGATTTGTTATTATTTAAAAATAATGATTGTTGATATGTATGTCAAAATATTCACAACTGAAAAGATGATCTAATGATCACCTCAAATGAACCAACTATTTATATAATTAATCAATGATTAATTATATAGTAATGTTCGTTAGTTACTTCCTAGAATTTTAATGAAAATATGTCCAATACATGTTCGATGGCAAATTCGGAATCAGCCATCATCAATGACAAGACCGATTTTTAACTTTCCGTAGGGCAAGTTATAGTAATCGCAAAAAAATCGAAAATGAAATTTTTTATATATCTTTACGTTTCAGAGGTTTCTGAATATATTTTCTTGTTAGACGGCGACGCGGCGCTTACGCGCTTCGATATTTCGTCTCTATGCGGTAAAAGGAGTGCTTTTAAAAAATTGCTTTGAAAAAAGTTCAGAATTTCCAAAAAATTTCCAAAAATTTCAAAAAAAAGTAAATTTTTGTCAAAAATGTATAGTTTCTCAAAATTCTAATTTCGTGCTAATTTGTCTTAAGAGTCTTAAGACTACGTCGGTTTTATAGATGGCAACCAAAAAGGTTGTCTCATTTCTGTGTGATAAATTGTATTATCACAATTTCTGTAAAAAGCAAATATTTATTCATGCCGCAATGCGTGTGAGGGCTGTTTTCACTTGGAAACAATTCATTCTATATTTTCAAGTAAAAACTGATATCACTACTGCTTGACATTAGGCTGCTGGAGGCAGGTATCGAACCCAGGACCTCTAATTTACTCACTTATAAGCGAACCTTTTGCAAAGAAATTATTTTGGAAATGATAATAGTCTAATTCTGTGATTTCCAACCTCTGAGGCGCAAAGCTATTCCAAGAGAGGAGTACAGCGGTTTCCAAAATACTATGTTTAAAAACAAACCAAAAATTTTTAAGTGATATTCAAAAAAAAAATTAATTATTATTTTTGCATATTTTTTTATATTATTGTTTATTACTTTGTAGTCAGATAAATAAAATATAATATCAGCTGAATATTTAAAAAAAACATTACTAGATAAAAATTTTGAAACTAGTGGCATCGTGCCTTAAAGCAAATTGGTGGAACTTCCCGTACCGTAATGAAACATTCGAAGAATATTAAATGTTCTTAAATAAATCATTGATCGTTAAAATAAAGGACACTGTCTTTAATTTATAATAATTATATAAATTGAATTGCTTTAGTAATTTTGCTAGAAATAAAATTAAAATCCTAATTATTTTCGATGTCAAACATTTTTTTTATGAAATTATCAAAAATCTTTCTCTGGAAGCATTCGTTTTGTCAACACAAGCAGAAAGTTTTATGAATCATTCATGTCAGATGCTTAGTTCTCTCAAAAACTGCAATTTCTTGCACACTTATCTCCGTATCTCCACTTACCCCACCCTACGGTAAATTAAAAAAACGTGAGAGGGCTATACGAAAAGATTGGAAACCACCGATTTCCAATATTTTATTTTTTTATATTTAGTTATATTATATAATAGTTTGGTCGATTTTTTTTTCAAAATATTCCGACAAAAATTAGGAAATAATGCTGGAATAATAATATTGAAATATTGATAATCTTATCATGCATTTATTCTACGTAGTCTAATATTATTTCATGATGAATAAATAGAAATCTTGAAATTGCAATCTTACCACATATTTATATAATACTAAAGTATCAGCGACTGGGTATCCAGACTGATTTTGATAATTGTAGACTTCTAATGAGGCAGCATATTGCCAAATGTGCAGTCGGATGTCGACAAAGGTTTTGTCGAATAAAATTATATCGATCGGTATATCAGTTGGAACAATATTTATTTCTTCGAATCCTTTCAACTCGAGCTCATCTGTTGAGAAAATAATTCATGTTTATAAAAGATTATTTGCAATGATTGAAAATAAAGTAACACGTTTGAACGTCTACAAGATTGATTCATGCGATATTTGCAAAACCCAAAAAACAAAGATTACCTTATTTGAAAAAAAGGTTGTGATATTTTTGAAGAGCAATCTGAATTTTGTATTCATTAGAATAAATTTATAAAATCATAAAATATAATTATACTTCTTTACCTCTGATTTTGTAATAACTTTGATTATACACAGGTGCATTTCTTCGCTGTACCGATTTTAGTTTTTCATGTTGCACTATCTCCTCAGGAGATAAAAGTCCATGTGCCTTTTTAATTATGTACACATAATGGTCTACGATGTTATCAATTTTTTCGAAAGTAGTCGCGTTTATTTCTAAATCTGTAAATAATATAAGAAATAATAAAATATATCGTCGATAATGAAAAGATACAAATTTTAATTCATTAAAATTGAAATATTAAATCATTGCCTAATTACCCAAATTAATTATATTTATCCTCAAGTTAAAGTCACTTTGCAATATATATTGTTACAAATATTTATTACTGATATGCGAACTATATGGGCATTATTTTCTAAATCAACGTGATAAATATTCAAATTTCAAAATGAATTACTAAAAGAAACTTTAAATGCCTCAAAGTATGTACCAAATTGGTTAATATATAAATACGCCGACATAATCATATACGATGAAATACAAACACAGCCAGATAATTCCAAAAGCTGCTTGGAGGATCATTCAAATCCTCTGCCAGGGAACTGTGCCACAACACTAATCAATTTTCGAAATCTGTGAGAATAGTTGAAAGATTTTGTATTTTTGAAGTCATTTTTCAATCCTACAGTTTCATTTGTTGTCTATTTCAGGACAAGTGTCAAAATCACTATATGATAAGAAAAAAACTTTATAATATAATTTCAACTGATCAACTTCTGTCGACAAATGAAAAAATTTAATATTTTATTATTCTTCAATAAAATTTTTTGAACGTTTATATGAAACTGTAAACTAACACATCTCCTTATCAATAGGAATCGATTGCTTACGGTATTGATTCGTGCTCCCAAAAACGTGGACGAAAAAATGTATCCATCACATATACGCACACACATACATACATGCATAAAAATGAAAATGTTTGCATATCTTTACGTTTCAAAAGTTTCTGAACATTTTGGCAAACTTTAGAAAAAATGTATGTATTTGTATGTATGTTTGGATACAATTTTGGCATACCTTAGAAGAATGTATGTGTGTGTATGTTTGGATGCAATTTTTTGTCCACGATTTCGGGCACATGGATCAAGATTTTCAATTTTTAAAGTTCACTTATACGGTACCAACAAATTTACAAATCTTCAGACAAAAATTCTTTTAAAAATTTTCAAAAATATACTAAGTCTTATACTTCAAATATAAATTTTAAATTTACAATTCAGTTTAAAACTATATAAATTTCATATGCGTTATTCTACTCGTAAGAAATATATCCTCAGATGGATTCATTCAGCATTTCTTCTTAATGTCCCTTTACTGCCGACTATTGTAAATTCATCAAATTTATTAAATGTCCTTAACTGAACAGTTGTAAATAAAAGAGATAAGAATAAAGAAAAACAAAAAAATCTTCTTAATGTAAACATTTTCAAGTGTTTTAGGGGATAAGTTCCTCAATGTATATTATATGAATAAATAATTATATAGTAATTATAATTTAATTTAAAACAATTATCAATAATCATTGATCAATATTTTTTGATTATTAGTTTTTTTGTTAGAATGTTTAATTCTGGTACGGGAAGTTCGGCCATTTGGAATTTTATGTTATATTTTTGATGGCCAGTAATTTTACCATTTCATCATATTTTTTATTTTACAATTTACTTGTTAACTGAAAAATATATTTTGTAGAACCTTGAAATAAAATGCTAAAAAAACCTTCACTAATTTGTGAATATACTCAAGATCTACCTATTTTGGGTACTAAACATTCTATTACCATGCTTTGTTTATAAAATATGTCAAATTATCACAAGCATTTTTACTTCAAGTTATTGAGTATTGCATTACACAATGTTAGTGTTAAGTTAACAATTAGTATCGTTTTAACATTGTATTTTTCTACAATTTAATTATTATAATTTATTTACTGTAATGAGTCTAATCCTATACCCGAAATATATAAAATATGATTTTTCAGATTAGTAAACGTCAACATTAGGATTTCCAACAAGTTGACAAAACGTGCAATAAAATTAGAATCTGTAATTTTTATATGACCTGTAATAAAATTGCATGCAAAAAATGTATAAAAGACATCTAAATAGTATGTAAAATAATATGTTTGAATATGGTTTTTATATTAAGTATATAAGTAATTTTATACAAAGCCATTTTATTGTGAGACTGTTCAACTAAACCTGAGTATGAAATAAATGATTTTTTGAACAAAATGTGCATTGCGACAATTGGAAGGTTTTCCGTACAAGTACAGATACACACAACTCCTATAAACCAAGTGTTAACGTAATTAATTAAACCTAAATCCTAATTATACCTGTATTTTTAAATTGTTTAAAATCATAAAGTCCAGTGAAAAAATCAGCGGTCAAAGCCAAAAAGTTTTCCAATTGCGCCTCGTATGATATTTTATTGTCTATCACATTTGTTTCACTTTTATTCAAGGGAAAAATACTTAAAAATATAAGAGCTATGCCAAAAAATCTAATTATTTTGCACATTTTGATCTATAAAAAACTGATCACTGGGTAATAATTAAATTAACACATGTACCACTACATATTTAATTTGGAAAATAATATTTCACTATTCAATATAAAACTCTTCTTTTGTCAAAAGTCAATTGCGGACTGATAGAACCACAACGTAGGATTTATGACATTCGATATATAACGGTATTTTTGATGCAATCGATTAAAAATCCTTACATAATGCTTTATTTATTCGATGACAGGAGTCTTATGCGATATTAAAATCAAATTTTGTGTTTCTATTGACAGGGACGTATTTTGAGGGTAATTTTATATGTTATCTTGGCAACAATAGTTTTCTCACCATACTTTAATAAAACCATACTTTAGTAAAACTCACCATACTTTAGTAAAACTGAATTAATTAACTTTTTTTTGGTTTTTTATTACCGAATTTTTATTAACTTCTCGACGGAGATTTTTTTTCAGCAAAAACAACCTAATGTGAATATTATGTTTTCTCAACTGACACCAAATTTGGAAAAAAAATCAGCCGATTTTTGACCTTTCGTCGACGATTTCTCAAAAAAACACTTTCAACTACATAGTTATCAAAAAATACTTTCAACTAGTTATGTATTAATATAAATTACAAATTAAGTTATTTATCTATAATTAACTTCCCGTAGGGTAAGTTATAGTAATCGCAACAAAATCGAAAATGAAAATTTTTGCACATCAAATTATCCGATATTTTATAGGGATTTTAACAGTAAGAATAAATTTTGTTTACATTCCTATCGGTTCCGTACCAATGTTTATGCGTTAGACGGCAACGCGGCGCTTACGCGCTTCGATAATTCATCTCTAAGCAGTTAAAGCAGGACGATTGCTTTGAAAAAGAGTTCAGAATTTCCAAAATATTTCAAAATAAAGAAAACATTTTTTCCAAAAAGTCTTTTTTTCAAAAAAGGTAAATTTTTGTCAAAATTTTATAGTTTCTCAAAAATCTAATTTTTTCAAAGTAATTTTTTTTCAAAAATGTTAGTCTTTTTAAAAAAAAATTATTAGTACGGAAAGTTTCAGCAATTTGCCTTAAAGCACGATGCCATGTGCTCCACTAGTTGTATAATTGTATTGTATGAATAAATACAATTATAATATCATTGTACAAAGCTTCATCAAAATCGTAAGAAACATTTTTTTCAACACTTAATTACAAAGAAACAGCCAGGCCTATATTTACCAAAATCGAATAGATTTTGAATTCTCAAAATCGATTCAGAATTGCGGGCTATAACGTAGACAAAATTTTTTTCACTTTTTTGCTATTTATAAAGAAACGGCTTGGCCAATCGTCGCACAATAGTCATCATCGAGGTGCATCGAATGGCTTTTAAATTTTTGAAATCGGTCCAGCCGTTTTTGAGAAAACGTCGATTTACGACAAAAAATCTGTTTGCACACACACACACTCATACTTTTTCACAATTTTCTCTCATTCGATTCAGAATGGCTTGAAACGCCGAGAAAACATTGTTTAGCAAATCGGATGTTATCATTATTAGAAAAAATTGATGTGTGTGTGTTTTGTATGTCCGCATTTTTTCGTTCACGTTTTCGGGCGCACGGATCAACCGATTTGGATGGTTTAAAAAACATTCGATTCCTGTTGATAGGGAGAGGTGCTGATTAGTTTTTGGCAAATGCAGGTCCAGCCGTTACGGTGATATAGAGCAAAGAGTGCCGAAAATAGAAATCGAGATTTTGAGAGAACGGAGCATCCAATTTAAATGATCTAACTATAGTGGTGTATGGCATCGTGCCTTAAAGCAAATTGCCGGAACTTCCCGTACCGTAACGAAATGTTCGAGGAATATTGAATGTTTTCAAATAGATTATTATAAATACTATAACATTGTCTAATATTTATAAGAATTATATAAAATGAATTACAAAGTTAAAATTATTTATTTAAAGTATATAAGTGAGCTTTAGAACTTTAGCCAAAATTAAAATTAAAATTTGAATTAGTTTCGATATACAAAAAAAAAAATTGACATTTAGCTCGGTATCTCCGAAACGGCTGGACCTGCCTTTGCCAAAAACGAATCACCACTTCTCCCTATCACTAGGAATCAAATGGTTTTCGAATCATTCAAACCGGATGCTCCGTTCTCTCAAAAACTCGATTTCTATTTTCTGCAAAAAACTAAGCAGCACATCTCCCTATCAATAGGAATCGGATGTTTTTTGAACCATTCAAATTGGTTGATCTGTGCGCTAGAAAACGTTGACGAAAAATTGTATCCATACATACATACACACACACATCCGTTTTTTCTGAAGTATGCTAAATTGTTCAAAAACCTTCTAAACGTGAAGAAATGTAAAAGATTTCGATTTTTGGACAATTACAATAACTTTTCCCTACGAGAACAAAACATTCAGTTCGTAATGATGGGGAGAAGTGGTGATTAATTTTTGGCAAAGTCAGGCCCAGCCGTTTCAGAGATGCCGAGCTAATTGTACAAAAAGTGGCAGTTTTTGAGAGAACTAAGCATCCGATTTGAATGATGCAAAAAACTTTCTACTTGTTTTGACAAAATAATTGCTTTTGGAAAAAAAATTCAAAATTGAGGTCGATAAAACGAAAAAAATTCAACAAAAGTTTCCATTGTTTCGAATAAATATTATTTCCAGCAGATGGCAATGGTTATTTGAAAGATAACCTTATATATACTCCTACTTCGACACGTTTTTTGATTAACTACATCACATCCTAGATAATATAATAATTTGACATACATCATATAAATTATTTTAAATTCCAAATAAACTTAAGTATTTTATGAGAAAATAATATATGTGTACGTACCATAACTTTTTTTTATATTTATTACTTTGACAGAGGTATTGTGAAATTTATTTTAATGTTTACACTTGTTTCTAACCTAAGATGTCAGCAATATATGAATACATTAAAGATAATAAAGTTAATATTAAAGAATGCCTACAACAACAACTTCTGGACATAGAAACCCTACAATCGATTTACATGGAACCAGGAGAATTCGAAATAAGCGACCATGGTGTTCATGCTGATGTAAACGAATTCGTAAATTCAGCATCTATAGATGTACCTAATCGTTTAGATTTTTCATTAAACTTAAATCTAAATGGTAATAAAACAGAAATAAACTTTAACTTGCCCAATACTTTTCCCTATACGAGACCAAGTGTTTACGTAGTTTGCTCAAAGTTGTCCAGATCAGAATTGAGTTGTTTGAACGAAGACTTGGATAAATTTTTAACAGAAATAACTGACAATTACTGTTTATTCCAAATAATTGAATGGATTAAAGAATCCACGCAGACATATATGAATTCAAAATCAAATGACATTGAAATCAATACAGTACAACAACCAAAACAAGAGTCTTATTGCAGATTCTGGGTGTATTCTCACCATATTTATAATAAATTGAAGCGAAAAGAAATTCTAAACCTTGCTCAAGCTTTAAATTTAACACGTTTCTGTTTACCTGGTAAGCCTGGTATTGTTTGTATAGAAGGCGAGTTGAGAAATTGTGAAGAATGGTGGTCGGCTATTAAATCTATGAATTGGCAGAAAATTAATGTTATTAAAAGAGATACGTTAGATGATTATGAAAATGAAAGACACTTTCATGATTTTGAAGAAAAGATATTCCAAAAAAACGTTGTCAAGTCAACAGATAAACATATGGATATGGGAGAGTTTTTTAAATTCCTCGAACAACACAATTGTGGACATATGTTCAAATACTACTTCGGATTTGAAGGAAAATGTGATAAATGATGTGAATATATTTATTAAATAGTATATAGTATATATTGATAAAGAGAATAAATATATTTTATTACCTTATCTCTGAGAACTTATTCTTCGAATAATTTGTTGATGTCTTTTTGTTCTACCAGTTCTGTGAATAGAATATTAAAATAAATATTAATGTAAATATGTATCGCCAGTATATAACTATACCAAATTAGGCCATTACCTGGCCATGACATAAATATAAATAAAATTATATTACAATACAATAAAATGTAATATATAAATAATACAAACAAGAAATTTGCGGCATTAGTAAAAGAAAATAGTTTAACCTGAATTTGAGATTGAAAGTATTGTCGAGAAATCAGCAATTTGTGTTTTCGATTTACTTTCAACTATGCATATAACATATATTACATATTGCATTTTATTCCATATGAATTACTTCCGACATAGTAATTGAATTCAATTCGCAAGGTTTTATCTAAAACACTTTTGATTAGTGAAAAAATATTTTGCAGTTGGTACAATTCAAGAATTACTATTTGATATAGTTAAACAATAGTTTATCAGTTTAATAGAAAGATATAGATTTTGATGGTTGAGTTGATTAATTATAGTTTCTAAAAATATATAGAAATTTTGAAAAATCAATATGTAAACATCTCACCTACAGATATTAGGAAGTGTACGCAACTATTCAAATATTCAAGCAACCACTTACACATGTTTTTCCTAAGTAATTTAGATTTTGTTCATATATCTTCGATTATCATTTATAATTCATCAAAATTTTAGAACAATGTCTCGATGGTCAGCTTGTCATATAAATGCCTATCAACCAAATACCATTTTTACAAAATAAATTGTATTTCACATAATTTTCCAATATATAAAATCACAACATTATACATAACATTCAATCTAAAACAAAAACTCTGTACTGTTTAATTAATATACATTTCACATATGTCGATTTTTAAATTATCAATGTAGTACTAGTTGTAGACTAGAACAATTGTTAGTGACTAGAATTAAGGTTGAGACTCCTTGATATTTCATAAAATAACAGTAGCTATTTTATAAATTTACAATAGCCATTTAGTCTTTGGCTTTCCTATTAATAATTTTTATCAATATACAGCCTTTAAATATTATTTAAAGAGCTATGTTAAGGCAGAGAAGAATATTTAAAAATCGTTAACAATATCTTAAGATTAATTCACTTATTCTTATGAATTTAGCTGG